AGATTAGTGTTAACCAGACATTGAGTAACCGGCCCTTAGACTACCTTACTGCTTAACCTGAAGTTTGTGCTTAAACCTATTGTGACTAAAACTATGTTCACATATCAATATTATCTCAATCAAAGCTCGTTTTTTAATTACCCCGTTTACACAGGCAAATCTCAGATTATTAGCCGTCAAATTTGTTGTGCTTGTTATTCTCACATCTCAAGGAAAAGTTATGTTTCTTCTCTGTGCCACCGTGATCACGATTTTCTGCTATAATAAGCAATATAAATATATTTTAACTTAACATTTTATTAAAAATACTATAAAAGAGGTTTGTTTTACTTGCTAGCGTACATTTTTGTTTACTTTCACATTTGGCATTTCTCCTCTCTTTCGCAAAAACAATCGAAAAACTAGGATGGACACCGAAAAGTTATCGGTTGAATCTGAGATTATTTTATAATTACAGATTAACAAGGGACGAATTTTATATGGCTAATCAAATACATCTTGAAAGAGTATATATGAATGTATTAATTTTTAGATAAACTGAATTTTAATAAACGTTTTTAGTGGAATTACATAACACTGACCGAAAATCAAGTCCAGAGTTCAAACAGTTCAAACTTTGACAGCAAAGCGTGAAACGCAGAAGGTATGCTACAATAAACGCTTTGACAGCTTTTGCGTTCTACTTTTCCTCCATATATTTTATCTGTAAAATAGATAACAATATAATAATATGCATTAATAATAGCAATAAAAATTCCTATTTACCCTATTTTTGTCATTAAATGCAAATGCAAACGCACGAGAAAAGATACATGTAGACAGCTGTTTGCCAAAGCGGGCAAAAGTTGAGAGTTGCCCAAGATTTTGCTTCGATTTGCTTTGCTTTGCTTCAAACGTTTTTTATGTGAGCATACTCATGCATATGCCTACATCGATCTTATATGTAAAAAAAAAAAACTATCAAGCAAAGCGAAGAAAGTTGTATGTGAATCAGCCTTTAAGCATTAGAAGCGATTTTTTTCTTTGCGTCCCTCCAAAATGTAGTCGGCCACCAAGTTATCGTGCAGCAGTGCACGCAGAACTCCGTCTACACTGCCTTTTACACCTTTTGACTTAACTAACAGCCGCATCTGAAATATAAACCTGAATGTTAAATGTTTAGGTAAATAATTAAAGTAATCGAAATCAATGCGCATATATTAAAAAACAACAAAATTATTACCAATGCATCACTACTGGCCTTTGTACAGAGTTTCGTCTCTACGGCTAGCAATGTCTCCTCTGATGGCATGGGAAGCATGGAGGCGAGCTCTACGTATTCCTCGTCCTCTATGTCACCTGTGATGCGGCTAACCGATAGCTGAGTTCGCGCCGCGATGACTTTGCATTCACGTAATATTTTGCTTTGCGCTTGAACCTCAGCTTTCTCAGGCATCTGGAAAACAAACAAAAAATATCGCGAAATACATGTCTAAGGGCCGGTTACTCAATGTCCGGTTAACTCTAATCTGCGGTTAAACATCGTTATCGACGTCTTCGACTCCATGCATACAACAGGGAGTCGATAACGTCGATAACTATGTTTAATCGGAGATTAGTGTTAACCAGACATTGAGTAACCGGCCCTTAATGTTGAAAATAGAAACATTTACATTTTCTTTAAGGGCCTTTTCAATGGCAGTTAGACGGTTGTCCACACCACCCAAAAGTGAAAACATGCCCTTTTGGGTCTCTTGGATTCCGTCCAGACGTTTGATAAGCTCTGCGTGACTGCTCGATGGGACCTCAGCTATTGTGGCCACTTCGGAAGTCGTGTTGGTAGCGAGAATAAAACTGAAGCGGCGCTTCTGAATTCGTTGTTCTGTAACTAATTATATAGTAGCAGCACCAGTAACAAACATTATTAATTGTATCACCTGTGCAGACGGAGGACCCTTGGGAGCATTCCACTTCCGACTCAATGACCTCTTCGAAAAGATCCTCGAAATTCATTCTAATAAAAATCCGTATACAAAACTTATTTCTTAATGGCATGCAAAAATATTTATACTCAGCATCTTATTATTTACAATACTATTTAAAGCGGTTAATTGAATTTTAATAAAAATCATTAAATAAGTGATGTAATAAGGGAACTAATAATAATTTATTATTTAATGGCATGCAAAAATACTTATACTTAATGTCCCGTTTACTTACTGAAATTTCATTATTTGAAACTTTACCTAAAATAATACCTAAAGCCTCTGAGGAATCAACAGGTTCATAAAAATAGTTTTCTAAATCAGTCAAACCGAGTGCTATAAAAATATCGGATTCAATTTGCTCTCCGATGATTTTTATAGGTCCCGTTTTATCACTAAAACAAAAACTATTGCTCTCTTTTTTATAACTTAGTATAAATGAATCTAATTTAAAAACTTTATTAGAATCTGCAACAAAATTTTTTCTTTCCAAATATCTATTTTTTATTTGCTGCAATACTTTATCGGATTTTTTAATAACTTTTTTTAAAAATTGCATGTAGTTTTCAAATTTATATGCCGAAAAGTTATCTAAGGGTCCAAACTGCCTTACACAATCAGCTAAATGCAACAATCTATGTATATTAAAACTAATTAAATGGTTACCGTATAACGTAGGAAATAATTCTACAAACTCTTTTAAAATTTCTTCGGCTACATCTACTCCGATATTACATGACCTCTCACAAGAAAGAAGTCGAATTGCCGCATGAAACATATGAAAATGGTAATAAAAATGATCCTCAACGCAGCCTTTTAAAACAAATATACCAGTATAAAGCAAAAATTGTCGGAACTCCGTAGATTTCCAATTGCTTATTTCATCAAAATCTCGGGTAATCCTGCAAAATTCAGATGGAACGAATTTTGCAAGAAACCTTAGCCTTTCATTCATCACGCGGACATTTTCTTTAGAAATAAGCAATTTAATTAGCTTTTTCATTACTCCTAAATCTACTAAGTGCATTGGATCCAAAGGAAACTGTGAAACCATGTTGAAATTCGCAGATTCAAATAAACTCTCACGCTCCTTATAATTATTACTATGATGACTGATATCTCGTCTGTTTTTAAATGTGTCGTCTGTCCGAAGTATTCCAACATTTGTAGAAAAAGTAACTCTTCGTTTAAGGTATTGGCTAGAACATATACATTTAGGACAAGCATTTCTTCCAGGGTGCGACATAACTCCAGTCACAAAGGCGCAGGCTGGAGAATCGCAGGTAAAGCATCTTACATTAAACTGTTTTATAACTTGATTTATATCAACTTTCACTCCGTTTGAATTTAAGAGAATCACTTCATCGCAAAATTGTCGGAGGAAATCTTCAGGGTTGTTTGGTTTGCTTATCCCTTGAAAGCAGGC